TGGGGGGCGGCAGGCGGGGCTGAAAGGCAGCTTGCAGTGTGGGGTGTGAGACAGACAGACGGGTGATTTGCCTTGGCCAGGCAGCTCAGTTGGTTGGAGCGTCCCGGACATCCAAAGGTTTCGAGTTTCATTCCCACGCAGGGTATGTACCTAGGTTGTGGGTTCGATCCTCCCTCGGGACATGTATAGATGTTTTTCTCTCCCTCCCTCTGAAAATCGATAAAAATATAGCCTCGGGCCGTAGCTGGTTTCTCAGTGGTCAGAGCGTTGGCCTGTGACCCAGGGGTCCGGGGCTGGATTGTGGCCAAGGGCATGTACCTCGGGCGCAGGCTCCTCCCCGGCCTGGGCCCTGGTTGGCGCTTGTGCAGGAGGCAACCAATGGATGTGTTTCTCTCACACTGACGTTTCTGTCTCTCTCTCTCTCTTCCACTCTCTAAAAATCAATGAAAAAATATTCTTGGGTGAGGACTTAAGGAAAAAAAAAAAGGAAGATGGAGTGACTCACTGAATTCCCAGAGGTGGGAGCTAGAGGCGGGGGCAGCTGAGGCGAGGTTCTCAGCGGACAGTGTGGGCTGGGCTGGGGACACAGTGGGCAGCAGGGGCACAGGACAGTGTGTCCCGAGCGGACGGGACACGGATCGCTGGGTGGCAGCAGAGACCCCCCAGGGGGCAACTTGGGGTGAGTGTGGAGAGAGCTGGCCTGCAGGGAGAGCCGGTCAGCCAGGCCTCCGGCTGCTGTGGAGCGAGAAGGCAGGGCCAGGCTGGACGCCGGTGCTGGTCTCAGCCTGAGCTGAGGCTGGACCTGGGACGGGGAGGGGACTGATGGGGGGGCCAGAGAGCAGGCGGCACGCCCTGAGCTGGTAAATGGGGGGAGGGGGAGACCCAGGGCACCTGAGGAGGAGGCTGGGGAAGGAGGAGGTCAGTTATGGGGGCACAGGGGTGAAGAGCTGGTTGTGCCTGAGAGGCAGGTGAGCAAAGGCGAGGACTGGGAGGAAGACGGGGGGTCAGGCGTGTCCGCAGTTTCTGTGGGTTTGGCTGGGGTCAAGCTGACTTCCTTCTCTCTCTCTCTCTCTCTTTCTCTCTCTCTCCTCTCCCCCCTCCCCCCACTGTCTTATTTACAGCTTTGAGGTGTCATTTACATGCCATAAACGGCACCTGCACACATTCAATGGTGAGTAACCAGTTCACAGGCTGCTGCAGCCTCAGTCCACAAAAGTTCCCTCGTGCCCAGACCCGGGCCTCCCGGACCAGCCGCCCGCTCCGTCCCGCATCCGCGTCGGGGGGAACAAGCAAACCAGGCATGACCCCCTCGGCCACTCGGACAGTGGAGCCATGAGGGTAAGAACCCACCCTGTCCAGCCCGCCCCCCACCCCACCTCATGCCCTGGGGCTCCTCCTGGAACTGCTGGTCCTGAAGAACAACCACGCTGCCCACCCTGAGGGCAAGGG